CAAATTGTAAAATTTGAAGATTGAATCAACAAATTTATTAGTCCAAAGAACATCAATATAAATACAAACAAATACTTTGTCATATTACCCTTTGTGATTTAATAGAAAATGTACTGCTGAAAGATAAATTGACATTCTGAAACGGTTACTAGAGTCATTGTTTTTTTTCTCCAATGAAACGGGCTTCTCTGACACAGTTAATACATTTGAGAAAAAAATGTATACTGGTAATGAATGCATTTTTGTCTGTGTACCTGCATGTGTGTCTTAATCTTTTATCTACATTGATAACTTTTTTCCTACTACAGTCACGCTTCTGATTCAACTTATGTTCTACATACTACCATCCTACTTTTACTACTACCTCTAGCATCATCCTACATCAACCTCTACTACCATCCTACCTTTACCAGAGATGCCAACCCTCCCGATTTCATCGGGAGGCTCCCGATAATTCACCCCAACTCCCGACCTTACGATCACCATCCTTATCCTCCCGATTTATTATAAAAAATTAAAAAAATGATTTTTTTTTTTTTTTTTTTTTTTTTTTTTTTTTTTTTTTTTTTTTTTTTTTTTTTTTTTTTTGGCGCTTATCAGTATATATATCTGTGAATTGAATGAGAAATATCGTCTGTTAACTTTAGCATGTAGTAAATCCACTATATTAAAAGACAAAAAAAAAAAGTAGCGAAAGATTGTTTCAGCATATGGATCGCCGTAACCAATGCGTGGATATTGACACAGAATCCAAATGGCGGAAAATCAGCTAAAGAAGACCAAGAAATGGTATCAGAAGTATAAGACCGAACACTGTATCATATATATGAAAGGAATTCATCATGCATTTTGTACAATTTGTATGTTATTTTAAAAAAAAGTGGGAATTATTGAACTAAATACACATGTAAAATGCTGCAAAATAAGGCTCAGATTGCACCAGAGAGCATCTAGAACCCCAGAGCTTCCAGGGCCCTAAGGCGGGCCCTGGACCCCGGCCGCATGGGTCGGGCGCTACGCGCTCGAGATGTGCGCTACGCGCACATTATTTGGTGTCCGTTACAAATCCTCCCTATTTATGTTTTCCAAAAGTTGGCATCTCTGCTTTACCACCATCTTACCTCTACCACCCCCCTACCTCTACCTTCACCCTATCTCTACCACCTCTCTACCTCTACCACCAACTTGCCTCTATACAACCACCACCAGGCGCGGATCCAGGATTTCTAAGGGGAGGGGGCCCAACTTTTTTTTTTTTTGCTCCCGAAAATTTGAAAATCGCGCCGGCCGAAAAGTCGCTCAGTGGGGGGGGGGGGGGGTACAGAGCACAATTTTTTTTTTTTTTTTTTTTGTTCCCGAAAATTTGAAAAACGCGCCGGCCAAAAATTCGCTCAGTGGGGGGGGGGGGGGGGGGGCACATTTTTTTTTTTTTTTTGATCCTCAAGAAAATTTCAATTTGCACCCCCCCCCTTGAGCGCCAGGGGGGGGGCCCAACCCCCAAAAAAGGTAAAAATCACGTGATTTTACATGATTTTTTTCTCAAGGGGGGGGGGGGCCCGGGCCCCCCGGGCCCCCCGGGCCCCCCCCCCCCTGGATCCGCCACTGACCACCACCCTATCTCTACTACCACTCTTCCTCTACCAGCACCCTAAATCTACAACTATACACCTGCCACCACCCTACATCTACTACCTTTCTCCCGTTACTACACCACCCTACCTCGACCACCATACCTCTATCACAACCCTACTACTTTTACCACCATCCTTGACCTACTACCACGTACCTAACCTACCATGCACCTTCCCCTAGGTACCACCCCCTACCTCCTCCGACACTCTAAACTTTAATCACCACCGCCCTTCCTCTACCACCACTGTACCTCTACTATGCACCCTTCTTCTATTACCTCTGTACATCTACCACCACCCTTCCTCTACTACATACTCTATACAACTCTTCCTCTACCAGCACGTACCTACTACTTTGTGCACCCTCCTTTCACCTCCCTACACCCACCCTCCCCTACCACCTTACTCCCGGTGGTGGTAGTACGGGAGTAAGGTGGTAGGGGAGGGTGGGTGTTACTCCCATCCTTTTCCTATCACCACCCTCCCCTATTCCTATCACTACCTCCCTACCTCTACCACCACCATCCTACCTCTGCACCACCCTACTCCTACTCTGGCCTACAACCACCCTTTCCCTACAACCACCCTACCCTACCACCACCTTTCCTCCCACCACCCTATCTCTACTACCACTCTTCCTCTACCACCTTCCTAAATGATTACACCTACCACCAACTTGCATCTTCTCCTCCCGATACCACCCTACATCTACAGCCCTACCTCTACTACCATCCTTCCTTCCACTACTACCATCATATACCTCTACTATTAGCTACCACCCTCCCTCTATCACCACCCTACTACTTTTACCACCATCCTTCACCTACCACCACGTACCTACCCTACCACCAACCTCCCCTACCTCTTCTACCACCCTACCCCCACCACCATCCCCTACCACCATCCTACCCCTGCCCCTGCCCCCACCCCCATAATACCCCTACCACCTCCCTACCACTACCACCACCTTGCCTCTACACCATCACCCTATCTCTACTACCACTCTTCCTCTGCAGCACCCTAAATCTACCACCACCTCCCCTATACCCCCTACTTGACCCCGCCCTACCTCACCATGCACCACCCTACCCCTACCCCATCCTTTCCTACCCCACTCTTGGCTACTCCCACCCTTCCCTACCCCTTATACCACCACCCTATACGTACCCTACTATCTCCCTACCAATACCACCACCTTGCCTCTACACCATCATACCCTATCTCTACTACCACTCTTCCTCTGCAGCACCCTAAATCTACCACCACCCTACATCTACTATATACCACCCTCTATCTACTATACTCCACCCTATATCTGGCACCATTCTACCTCTACCACATATTCTATTCCACTCTTCCTCTACCAACACCATGTACGTCCCCACCTCTTCCACCACCCTCCCCGTACCCCCACACGACCCCGCCCTCCCCCACCATGCACCACCCTACACCACCCTACTCCACCTTCCCCTACTCCCACACTACCCCACCACCAACCTTCACCTACCACCACCCTCCAGTACTAGTCTAGAGGCTCCAGGCACTGGTAAGTTCAACTACAATTTTAAGAACTAGAAGGCTCTCTGGAAAGGGTGTTTGTTTCGTTTTGTTTCATTTTGTTCTGTTGAATGTTTTGTCTTGTTTTTTAATTCTATTATCAACATTTCGTTATTGTTAATTTTTTTAAATTTAGACCTACCCCATTTGCATAGATTTCAAATTCCTGCTAGCTTTGCGCCTTGTACTAAGACTAACTTACAGCCGCCATTTCTGAACGGTGCGCCTGTTTAGATAAACTTACTCGGCTGTTGTCTACTCCTTGTTTTGATTTCCCAAATTAGAAAAAATATGTAAGTATAATGCATCCATGAGGATAATGAGTGTTTAATGATTGACAATGTAATTTGTAAACGTTATTGAGCCTTCACGATCCTTTGCTTGTGTAGACTACAGCCGTTTCTCTACCTTACTTAGCTCATATCCAGCGGGGATTGAGCATTTTTTGTGCCGCAGGTTCGGGTGGGATGATTGAGCTTTCGCCAAAGGCTTTCTTGAGTGCGCTTGATGAATGATGATGCTGATGCGATGGTGCTTACACAGTCTTAACTTTATCTGCCAAATACGGAGATGTCTCTGATTTTCCTAAACCATTTGATCTTGCCAAAAAGGGGGTCGCGAAACACGTAGTGGACAAGTAGCTTACTTAAAAGGTTTCAAAAAACGGGCTCCAGATATTGATTGGAACAAATGATCATGCCATGGGAAGTCGCAAGAAAAGGTGGTTTTACTTTGTAGTCATTTTGACATTGCCTGATTAAGTACATTTGTTTATGCAATGTCATGATGATTTCTACATAGTCTGGAAAAAATGCCTTAGAAGAGAAAATGCTGTGAAAGATGTTCGTAGGGCTGGAAATTTCTGGTTTCTCTTTAATTCAGGTACCCGCCTAACTCCGGGAAGCTCCAACACCGGCGCCGGTGTTGGAGCTTCCTGGAGTTAGTACCCGCTCAAAATGGATACCGGTACCCGAACGTAAAAATAGTAAAATCTGCTTCATCTAGTAATTTTGTTAGATCTAAATGTTCCTAGAATAACTGTTCTAATTTTGACTATTTATAGCAGCTAAATACTTTTAGCCATGTACATGTATACCTTCAAGGTATACCTTGAGTATTATCAAAATATTTCATTTAAAGTTATTTTCATACATGTTTGCCGATGTTTAGTACTATTATCATGTCTCTGAAAGTAAAAAACTTCATGCAGGATGAAAGAATCAAGGCTAAAAAAACAATGATGTTGGAATAATAAAATGGCTTTCCAAGAAATTCTTCTTAGTATAATTTCTCAAAGACAAAACAATATTTTTCTCTTATTCTAAACAAAATAAAAACTAAATGAATGCCGAACCTTTAATTGTCAATATTTTGTCAATAGTTCCACATTTTCCCACCCACTTACAAATATTATTACAAGGTAATTTGAGGTTCCTCTTTCAATTGATGTTGCCAGATTTCTTTCTTTTCTTTTTTTTTCTTTCTTTCTTCTTTTAAGATAATGAAGTTTATGAAGTTTGGCCATGTGTGAACATGGACAGTTCGTATATGCACAAGAGGAGCACTACATGCTCTACAGCAGTGTGTGAAAAGGCATTCCAATCATAAGCATTTATATGCAAATTTCAGGGACCATTGCATTTGAAATTTAATCCTTCTTTTTGATAATCTTGTCTTATTGTTTCCAGAAAATTACAGTGCCCTTTCGCAAATGTTCTACAAAGCTACATGTACTTTTTTAACAAACAAATAATAAATAAATTATATGTTGTAAATTATATTGAATTAGGTCTAATTCCTCTTTACAAACAGTCAAGGTCAAGATGTCCGAGGGTCCTCTTCCTAGTCCACCACCATGGACAAGCTTCTTGGTTGGTGTGTCAGCAGGTGCAGTCACTGTTGCTTCAGTAGCTCTCTTGTGGCACTACAGGAAGAGTCTCAGACACAGGATTCAAGGCAGCAATGGTGAGCTTCCACCGTCACCGCAGTCAAACTGATGAGATCAACCACTAACTGACAAATACCAACACCAGACATAGTCTAAAAGATCTGAACAAATTATTACATTAACCAAAATGAGCAAGATATCTCTACATTTAGGGTCTTTGTGGTACTGTGACTGGGGTATGACGAGTGGTATTATTAACTCTACTAAAGATATAAGGACACAAAGGTGCCATTTTGAAAATAACCGAAGAGTAGTTATACCAAGCAGAAATAGGGTATTTCAACAGCTAAAAGAACATTCTTGATACTAGTAGTAGAGACATGCTCTTTTCGCTCTGTTACTGTTTTAAATTCAATTGGACACACTGTTCTCTTTATGAAAATTGGATTCTTGATTAGCAATTTAGCATTATAATGGGAACAGGGTGGAGATAATGATCAGCATCACCTCTTCAATGTGAACTATTTTTCAAATCTTTAAAGCTACTTGTAATGAATAACATGGAAAAGTAATTGAATTAAGTGAAATTGTACTCTAACATAATAACAAAATAGATTGTTATGATTGATATCCTCCTAGATGGGAGAAACAGTCATCCTTCATCAGAGCCCCGCCCTGTCACCCCAGATACTCTGGATGGGACCGCTGCATTCAGCACTCAGCGATCCCTCTTCCTCACCGACAACAACCTTGGCTTAACCTCCCAGCATGCTTTGACAGTGACTGACATGTCTGTGACAGCTGAAGTAATGGGGAGAGGAGGAGGTGGTGGTGGTGGTGGTATTGGGGGTATTGGTGGAGGGGGAGGTGGTGAAGATGAACAGGGTGATCCAGACCAGCTGTATAGACATGAGAATAACCAGAGCCTGCTTAATTTACTGTTTAATATTGCAGAAGACCAAGCAAAGAAAGGTGAGAGAATGGTATATTTTGTATTTTGTACATATATCTCTACAAATGATCTTTAACAACATTTTCCCCTAACAGATTTGATTGATAATGTATAAATCAGTTTGTACAAAGTATATCATAAGTTTCACAGAAGAGCCTTAATGAATGCACAGCCTGCAGGCGTACATTTCTAGAAATATATATGACAGTAATTATATTAAATGTTAATTTTGCCCTTTTATCTTGTTTTTCTTTTCGTTTGAAGAGGGATTTATACATCGAGGCATCACATGTAATATGTGCCAGGCTAGTCCAATATGTGGAATAAGATACAAGGTAAGCAGCATACAGGTGTGCTTGACTTGAGAGACATCCACCCTTTACCTTTCTTCACAAAGTATATGCAAATTGTGTTGAATGAAATGGAATGTGTTTTTGTATTTGTTAGTGAGAATTCTAAAAGAAGTTATCATTATTTGTAGCATGATGTCAGGAGTACATGAATAAGAAAATGTTTTATATCTTTCTTTGTTATTTTAATTTATTTAATACTGTCTTTTCTCAAAGAGGGGTATTAAATGATCGGTAGATATTGGTAGGGTTCTATCATCTTCTTGCCCTCATGAATCCAAGTGATACAATCAGACAATTAAATCTATATAGATCAGGGCTCCACATTATCTTCTTTTTTTTTTATCACAGGGGGTGGAGAGTGTGATTGATAGTGGTCTTTATGTACAGTACAGACCATGTTACTCTTCCTCAGTATTCTAGGCCCATGTGTACTGGTCTACTGTCTGTATTGAGCCCTGAGTTGATTATGATCAGTAGTAAAAGAACTTAATCTTTATATTTGACTTTTATCTTTTCTTTTTTCAGTGTGCTAATTGTGTTGACTTTGACATCTGTGAGCGGTGTGAACCACATGACAGACATAACAGACTGCATACATTCATTAAGATTAAGATCCCCATACCACCCCTCGCTAATCCTAGGACTGTGCTCTTCAAACCCTTCTATCCAGGTGAGATTTCAGAGCTTTAAGAATTAACTTTCCACAATTTGTTTTATTCAAGCATGGATGCCTATGAATAGATTTGTTAAATGTTTTAAATCTTGAAGAATAATCATTTTTGTTCGTTTTTATGCCTCAGTTACGAAGTAGCCGGAGGCTTTATGTTTTCGGGTTGTCCGTCCGTCCGTACGTACGTCTGTACGTACGTACGTCCCGTTCTTGTGATCGCGTTATCTGAAGAACCGATCGATGGATTCCTGCCAAAATTAGGTCATGTCTGTTACTTGTAGAGCCAATGAACTGAGTAGATTCTTGGTTCATAAGGTCAAAGGTCAAAGATCATGGGCTCATTATGTATGCAAAAATAGCTTGTGAAAGCATTCTCATTAGAACTGACAGATGGATTACTATTTAACTCAGGACATCTTGCAGAGCCAATGAACTGAGTAGATTTTAGGGTCATGAGGTCAAAGATCAAAGGGTCATATATGTATATGAGAAATTGCTTGTAATCACGATATTCTGAGAACCTGTCAATGGATTACAATTGAACTTGAATTTGAAAAATTTCTTCTGTTTTGGTTTGTAAAATTGCTCTATGACGGAGGCATCATTTTCGACTGCGCGCAGTCGAATTCCATCTAGTTTTTTTTGATAAAAATTTTATTTATGTTTTCTCATTTATAAGTGTGATTGACATCTATGTATTTTTTTTTCTCCAGGAAAAGAAAAGGTGATTAAACGGGTCACATGGGATGATGTCAACAAATTGAAGAAAATAACTCATTGTAAGTATTAGGCATCTACTATTACTCAAAATGTAACTTGGTTTAAGGTATTATAATACTCTGTATTTTATTTATTCTTGTGAACAAATTTTGAAAAAATATTAAGAGCTAGATGCATTTTTGAACTGTCAATATGCAAAAATGAGTTACTCTAGTAAAGTTGTTAAACATGTAGATCATCAGATGAGAAAGTGGTGCATTATCAATGAATACTCCAGTCAAGTATGTTCATTGTGGGTTTTATTCATCAAAAGTTGATTTTATTCATGGAAGCACAAAAGCAGAACTAATTGCTTGAATAATGAGAGAGAGCTTCCTTTCTAAGATTATATAATTGATGATTGCACTATCCATCTTTCATTCTATCCCCAGTTGATCAGTATGAGATAGAAGCCTTACATGAGCAGTTCAGAGTACTCTGTAACAAGGAACAAGGAATCACCAGAGAGGTGTATGATCAGTGTGTAGGACCTCTGGGTTTAGAGAAGAGCTTACTCCTGGAGAGATTGTTCAAGGTGAGGTTGTGTACCCAGGGTTCTCATTGATGCTTAACAATATCCCTTTTCTGACAAGGTGCTAGCAAAGTTATTAATAGTGTCAATGCTTACTATTAACCTTCTTTCTTCCCATCTCTCATGGCTTTATTGGGTATTTGATTTTAATGTCTGTCAGTATTTATTTTACCCAATCACAGGTACATGTTTTATTTCTTTAAAATGATTTCTCTTGGCTGTTTTACTGTGCTTTTGTTAGCATCCATTTTTGCAATTCCTAACCCTAGCCCTAACAAATCTATTACTGCTGTCTTGATTTGCAGTACTATGATGCGAATGGTGATGGCTACATTGACTTCACTGAGTTCACCTGTGGTCTGTCGACTCTGGTCAAAGGGTCCTTTCAGGAGAAGGTCAAATGTAAGTCAAGATTTGATTGTGCATTTTCATCCTTTTGGGTTGTTTTTATTAAAATAAAAAGATTTTTATATGAATTCTTTAAAAGAATATATCATAGTGAGTACCCTTGTATATGATGTGTCGACCTGGTTTTGCAACATGTTCTTAGGAAATAATTGTACTGTGGTCAAATTCTTAAACAGATCCTAACTTCAGCCCTTGACCCAACACATTGCCTAACCCTAACTGTAAACCAAACCTAAGACCAAGTGGCAACTGTAACCCTATCTCTGCACACATGATTAAGTGCAGCCCAGAGCAATAGTAGGACCCACGTTGCTAAGGGTATGGGAATTATGATGTATGTCTAGTTAATGTGGTAATCAGTCAAATTCCATGTAATCTATCATGTAATTTTGATCTGAAATGTAATTTGCCCTGCTTTTGTGATGTTTCTTTCTTTGAACATGTAAGCTTTGTAAGCTTTGTAGCTCTAGCCTTCCAGGTGGCATGGGTGTGAATGAAATGGAGTTGTATCATGAAGAGCAGAAATAGCAGGAAATTGTTTGCCTTTTCCTGATTCAGTATCAATGATATATTTAGAGCAAGGGAATACATCTTACAATCAAAAGAAAGGAAATCCAAGACCAACTTGAAGAAAGCTTCAATCTTTATGCTCTACTTGTCTTGTTACATTATAAATGTTGTTGAGTGGAATAACGCTGTGATGAATGATCCCAAGCTTAGACCTCTTTCCTTGCTCTGCTCTCTTTGAGGGTTATTGGGCAAGTCCAAGGGATTTGGCCATGTGTTTTCCCATACATTACCAAGAATAATTGAATTCGAATGACAAAACCATGTCAAAAGCATCATTTCCCTTCATATTTGGCCTGATTCATGCGCTTGTAGGGCTAACAATTTGATATCGTAAACATATAGGACAACATATTACAGTCAAACCTGCTTTAGTGACCACCTGTCTACAAAGACCACATGTTTTGTTTCCCTTGAAAATGGTTTCTCATTGAAACATGTACTAAAGGAATATGTCTACAAAGACCACCTGTCTACCAAGATCACTTTTTGTGTTTCCCTTGGGTGGTCGCTATAGACGGGTTTGACTGTACATTATTATTGTTATAATTGAGTATTTGGTGTCAGCTGTGCCTGGGAGGCGCAAAGCAAACTGAATCACTGTAACCCTTGGGTCTCTCCTCCCGGTATAACTAATTTTGGGTGTTGCAGGCGGATCACCACTACACTGGGTTTCCCTCTACTCTTATACGAATAGTGCAGTGGGTTCTTAACATGCAAAGGTGGTGACTCTCCAGTACACAGTGCCTCCATTTATCATCTTATCCATTGACTTTACCCTATTTTGTACTCACTTTCCTCTCTGTATTAGATGCATTTGAGGGGTATGACCTGGAAGGAGTGGGTAGCATCAGTAGAGATAACCTGAGACAGATGTTCAAAGCTTACTTCTATGTTACTATTGAGCTGGTCAGAGATGTGGTGAAAGCATGCGAGGAAGAAATGGTAAGATTCATCAAAAAGTGCTCAAAATTAAAAAAAGTATCATTAATATGGAAGGAACAAGTTTAAGAATACCAAGTACCTATGCTAAAAATGCTTTATTTATGTAAATATTGGCTTTTAAATTTGAATTTTAATCAATGTCTTACCCATGCCATATAAAAAATGACACAATCGTCACTGAATTTAACTTAACATGTTAACATCAAAATGTCTTGGTATAATGATCAGATGCAGTCATTTTTAGGAGATGGGACTTTATTGCATTTTAAACATCAAAAACAAAAGGTTTAACTCTGTACACCTTGAAACATTGAATATTCGTCATTACTCTAATTATACGAACATTCTGATCTGCCATACCATCTTGCAAGTTGGTCATGAATATTCCTTGGCTTTCGGTTGATATTTTCAGATGGCAAACTTTGATGACAACCAGGGTCGTCCCGTCTCGTCTCTCTTCAGTGCCCCTATTCCATCAGACACCGGAGCACAGATAACCACCACTAACGGCAAGATCCCTTTTCCTGGCAATCCAGGAAGCAAGTATGTCATCTTTTCTTGTTCCCTAGCATTCCATTGAAACATATTCATTCTTTAATACGTGTTTAATGTTTCACTTGGATGTTAGCATACCTCGTCTTGACATGGTTTTATGAACTTTCAAGGTTGCTTCTTAATTGCTTTTTAAACAGTGGCTTCTTATTTTAGCTTTCAGACTAAATTTTAATTTAATTTTTTTTTTTTTAGACGGATGGGTTTTCTGCGAAGTTAGTATACACCCGTTTTCTTTATAGTTGATTCCTAAGGAATAATTTGTTTCAATATCTCGGACACTAAGGCTGAGATAGATCAAACGATGAATTCTGACCTGTGACAACCTGAATAGAATAATGAAAATACTAAAGAGGAACCAAGGAATAGTATAGCACATTGAAGAAGAGAGAAGCGGGCAATTCTATTAGTGAGGATAAAGAAAGGTGAAATCATTAAAAAAAGCCTTTGATAGTATGAACATATAAACAGAAGACACAGTGAAGTAGAAGGAAGAAGACAATGAGATGATGAGAATGAGGGACATAAACTGTAAGTCAGATAGTGCATACAAGTGAAACGACAGAAGAGTTTATCATGTGTTTACTGTGGTTTATTATTGCTTTATTTGTAAACTGATGAGTTTGTTTGCACGTTCATTGATTGAATGCTTGATTGTTTAACAGGGAGGACATGTGGCCAGTAATGGAGGCTATGTCCCAGGATGCTATTGAGGAGATGGTGGACAATGTCTTCAAGATGGCCAAGATTGATGCTGACCAAAGGTAAGTTTAAAGGTCATCTGTTGATCCAAGGTCTTGGCCTTATTGATGCATCTAGCTTGAAACATGGGACACCTGATAAAAGAACTCGAATATTTATCTTGACCAATGAAAACAAGTGTTTTCTGCTATGTTTCATGTGGAATTAAGGATAGAAGAATTCCCCATCTTTCGCAGACTCAAGCCTGTATCTCTCAGGATGTTAAAACTACAGGGTGCAACTATTTGATAAGCTGACATTTACTCCATTTACTAGTCATCAGGACTTTATTTTGTCAAAAATATATAGGGTTAGGGTTGTAAGTGTAAGTGGCTTTTGCGTTTGGTTTATTTATAAAAGTTGGTCCCTAGTCAAAGTGATAATTTGGTTAGTTTGAGATGACAGCACCCCAATTATGAAGGAGCACTTGTCATACCAACAAATATTTTTACCTAGAATTCTGCATATAGTTATATTAATGACTGCATATTGCTGTGTAATTTACATTGTGTGTGTGTTTGTGTATCCTTCACCCCCAGAATAACCTTAGAGCAATTCAAGAATCTAGCTATTGTGGATAGCAGCCTTGTCGCCTGGTTTGACTCTTTAGGACCCATTTTCTGATCGAGAAAGGTGGGTCTTTAGACAAATTTTACCCTTTGAGTTTGTTGCGCTGTTTTGCAACTTGTGTTCTTTTTCTAACCCATACTTTTAATTCATTTTTTTAATGTTGTATTTGTGTAGTATTGGTTTAGTTAAATATAATGTGATAAATAAAATGAATAGTTCCTATTGTTGTTTATTTTATATAGAAACAGTAATTAAATTTGATTCTAATTTCAAATAAAATTATAAATCAAATGGCTAAAAAGAATAATAGAAAAAGATTCCAAACTGTTGAAAATAGTTTGCCATACATGCATAATTTAATAGCTTAATAAAAAGAAGTAGACTTATATTGTTCTTATTTTGTTTGTTATGTTGTTATTCAGTGCTCTGTGATTGATTCATATTTTGCTTTATTTTTGTTTCTTTCAGCTTCACCATCATCATCATCTTCATCTTCATCCTTTTCTCTCTTTCTTCTTGATGGAGGATTCCAGTCTTTCAATCATTGCATGCTTTTGCCAATGTTTGGCTTTCACCTTGTTAATAGATGGTTATGAATATGGTATTCGCTTTCTTTAAACCCAAGCCACATTAAGTCCAATCTGACTATTCATAAACGAAATTTGGTCATTTGGGGAAAGGTAATTAATGGTTTGGTGAATGGCCATTCCTGCCGGTGTGACTTGAGTATGATCATCTAGTGAAGGAAACAATGGCTGGAATTCATGAAGGAGGTTTATGTTAGACCTCATTTAAATCTCCATAAACATAGTTCTCCTATCTGATGAATGGGCAACTATAGCTTATATACCCTCACATTATTTTACGGTGGAGCTGCTGAAAAAAACTGCTGATTCCAAGTATGTGTGAACTCTTATCCACAGGTGGTGTATAACAGGCATTTCAAACCTGGGCCCTGTATTGTAAAGTTTTGCGATTGATTCAAATCTTTCGCAACTTTTGTTATAAGACTGGGCCCTGATCTACATTTGACCTCTCCATATCCTCTCTAACTTGACCTTACCACATACAATGTACCACAATGCTTTAATCATATTACATTTGTTTCATGATAATGCAGATAGTATGATCTTCCATCATGAACATAAATGGTAAGTTAATGGTAGTTGTACATGTATACGTCATAATTTTATTACATGTCCAGAAAGATATTTTACTCGGTGATAAGAAAACTGGCACAATCATTGAATCGTTTATATCCAAGCACAAATCGACCTTCTTTAGTCTACTATTCGTGGATCATGATGATGTTTATGACAGTAATTGTAATGAGATAAGTCATTATGTCCCAAAGTAGATAGTGAAATAGTGCCACCTTGTGGCAGACTTGTAACAGTGAAATACATTTAGTTAATGAAGAGTCTTGATAGCTCTCTCTTGAAGCACATATCTTTGGTGTTACATGATGTTATTTGAGCCTACTAAGTTGAACTAATATGTACTTCCTATGGTTCTTTGGATTATTTACACTAATGTAACATACCCCTATTCCATCTATTGTTGCCTTGTTACCGTACAACGATAGTCCTTTTGTACAAGAATAAATCTGAACATTTTTAGGTACATATCTCCTTGGCATCACATTACATGTGGCTCTGCTGTCTTCCTGAATTGAGATTTTCTTTCCTTTTACCACAAATGTAGCCATTATTTTGTCTTTGTAGTTTGGCATCAAGGCTCTCGCACAATAGGCCTATGTCACAGTCTTGTAGAGGAATGAGCTTGCTGGTAAGATCACGCCGGTGGGGAATAGACTTAGCAGTCTCTGGTGTTAGGTGGTAAGACTAATTTGTCTTTGCCATCATGTGTGCATACACGTAGTCCTTCCACGCGTTCACTGTTTATCCTTTGGTTTTTCATCGATAGCGTGGATAGCCGTAAATTGACCTTAGTCCCATTTTCGTCCTTGATGGATTTGAGTAAGAAAGTCGTATCTGACTGAGTCTCCAGCAGGGCGTATGTTAACGTTTCTCCAACACTGTCCTTATGTGACAACCATACAGGAACAATCATCAAGCTTTTGAGAGTTTCTTGATCATCACTTTTCTTTGCAGTGTGTGAGTTTGATGATCTCACTTCGTCTTGGATTGTATCTTGATTTGAGGATTGATTCAAAGAGTTAACCCTTCCCCTGTCTTTAACGTGGAGTGCTGTTGGGTGTCGCCTTTTACAGTCCTTCTCTTCTTGCACTCGTTTGAGCGATGACCAACCTGTAAACACCCATAGCACAATCCCTTTTCAACAATCAATTTCTTCTTCTCTGCCATCTCCCATGCTGAAAAGGTAGGGCACTCTTCCAAGACCTTGGCAAGGTGATTTAGATTGCCACACTTGTTACACTTCTTCCCATTAGCCTTTACTCTGGCTTTCTGATTATCACTTGACTTCTGAGGCTGTCATATCCTTAATCTGGGCTAGTGCCTTGAAATACTCTACAAACCTTTACACAAGCAGACAAATCCAATTTAGATTCCTGCATAGTTTCTTCCGTAGCCCAATATCCTTTACGCCACATACAATTCTGTCTCTAATTAGATCATCAGTCAACGTGCCATTTTTTCTTGCTTGGTTTCAAGACACAGTGAAGCTCCTTCCAGGTGTCTCAGTAGCAGGATGTTGGCACTAGCCCCGCTATCCACCTGGAAGTCTACCGCTCTTTCATTGATAATCATCCTAGCATACACCTCATCTCTTGGTTTCAAGGTGTTGATGGTGATGGTGACATTGTCGATGTACTCAGTGCTTGTGTCACTGTCGGTTTGATCATCCACTTTGTGCATTCTCTTGTTCACCATGCACACATTGGCAAAGTGATTTTGCTTGCCACATGCCTTGCATGTTTGTCCGTAGGCTGGACACTTGTTTTTGTCTCTCGGGTGCTCCCTGCCACAGTACTTGCATGTAGGTTTTCCTGCTTTGCCAGTGCTGTGCTTGCTTTGACCTCTTTTTGGTCCACCGCTCTGCTTTCCTTTCTTGAAGCTTGGCCGGATCTTGTGGATATTAGCAGCGGATCTGCTACTACCGGTCTCACTGAAAGCTCTGAGGTGAGATTCAGCCGTCTCTGCGCTCTTGCAGATGTCAATGCAGCCACCAAGTGTCAGCTTCCTCTCTTGAAATAACTGCTTCCTCGTTTGTGCATCATTGGTGCCCAGCAACATTCATTGACAGAAATTGCATGATTTGGCAAGAGATCTGAGGTTGGCAAGGAATGATTCAAAACTCTTGCCTGGTTCTTGTTGTCGCTTATTGAAAAGGCATCCTCTTACAAGTTTCATTTTTTTCGCCGACAGCATACCGTTCAAATGCTTCAATGATTTCAGCCAGGTTGCTAGTCTCCCCATTAGCAAATACAAAACTGTTGTATATCTTGAGTCTCGATGTACGCATCCAAAATTCAGGGATATCGATCCCGTTGTCTCTGTTGATTGGTTGAGCACGCAATTGTTCTCGCTCGGCAGGCGAGCCTAGCCATTTGGTTGAGCACCTGTGTGCTTCGGCCAATAGGCCTTGTCCGTTATTGTTCTAATTATTGATCGAATTATTAGGCTGTTGTCCACCTGTAGAGTATAAAACAGCCTCCATGAATTTCTGACACAATGTTCTTGTCATATATACAAAAAAATACTCTAAATACACTTTACTGTACCTTCGCTCCACAGTATCCTGCCTTCCCAAAAAGGTCGATGCTTCTTCTTTTTACAAATTCAGCTATTTGCAGCTGCTCCTCCTTGCTGTAATTCAGCTTTCTTTTTCTTGGTTGTTTTTGACAATAGAATATGAACAAGAAGATGTCTAGATCAAACAAAAATCAAACAAAACACAAAAGTTAACATTATTACAAACTTAATTTTTTTATCACAGAGGATTTATAAATTCTTTCCTTCTTCTAACATGATATTAATTCCAACATGAGTACATTTACTCAAAAAGGCTCAGCAAAACTAAAATGCAGCAATGTGCAAAAAAAATACATGGATTAAGTGGGAGCACTTTAATAAGTCAAGGTTCACACTAAAATCAAATTGGAGAATACATGACAAGCAACCATCATCTTGAATTGCATGTCATGAGGTCTAAGTTATAATCGACTTACATTGCATGATCTAGTATATCTAAGATGATTTGAATTTGAATTTGAATTTATTAACAACAACACATCACAATAATGACAGTACATATGAACAATCATACAATGCAAAAAAAAAAAAAAAAATAATAATAATACTGATACATGTATACAAGTACATAACATAAGAGTAATGTCGATTGAACAGTAATGGTTTTAAAACAATATTTTTTAGACATACATCTGCAAACTATTAAATGTACAAAAGATATATACTTAAATATGCATATTACTATGTTTAGGTGAAGTTGTTAATTGGAACTAGAAGTTAGCACAAGTGCTAGTCGAGCCTAGTTCCATTCTTTGGCAAGTTTTTTTTCTGTTAATTTGTTTTTACATATGAATGTAAAACTTGTTTGTTTTGTATTTACATATATACAGCAAAATAATACAATATCATGTAACTTTTTTTCTTTACTAAAATGAAAAAATAAAAATAAAAAAGCTTGAGCGTAAAGCATTATAATGAAAGAAAACAAATCTTTGAAGAAATAAAATCACCAATGTGTTCATAAAAATGAAAAGGATGTATTAATAAAAATAATCATACACATGTACGTACATGCACAAATCCTGTAAAAGCTTAAGGCCGCTATAAGTGTATACATATATAAAAGGAAGACAAGTAATATAAAAGGAAAAAAACGAAGGGGGTGGGATTGAGCCCATGTCATTTACATAGAAGGTAGGTGGAAAGATGTCTCCGAAAAGATAACCTTGATGTTTTTAATCTAATTTCATCTGGCAGATCATTCCACAGCTTTGTTCCTACAAACGAAATACAAAATTGCCCTTGCGTTGTCTTACATTTTGGTTGATAAAGTAAGCCACTTTCTTTTCTCCTAGTTGCATATCTATGCTGTATCATCTGACAATAATCCACTAAAGCGTGTGGTAAAAAACCTTTTACCAAATCGTACATAAATGTTGATACAAGAAGTTCATGAAGTTGAAAAATATTTAAAATGTTTAGACTTTGGAAAAGAGCTTTGGAGTCTGTTCTAAGTGGACTGAATGTAATTGCTCTCATTGCCATTTTTTGACTTAAATATATACAATTTAGATTACTTTTGTAAGTGCTCCCCCATACTTCTACTCCATAAGAGAGGTGAGGCTGTATAAAAGCCTTATATAATAACACAAGTATATTCTTGGGAACAAAATGTCTCAGTTTAAACAGAATACCTACTTTCTTTCTTATGCATTTGTTTATCGTCTGAATGTGTTCTTTCCATGAAAGGTGACAATCAATTTCAATTCCTACAAATGATGCAACAGATACCTCTTTAATATTTGATCTTGATATTCTCACAGATCCCTTTTTGTCTATTGATCTAGCTTTGGATTTCATAATCATATAGTTTGTTTTCTGTAAGTTAATTGTGACTTCATTTGCATTACACCATTCCTGCACCTTCATTAAATTTTCACTTACAATTTCTAAATCAATTTCTTTTTGTCTAGGATTAAAAGTATGAAAAAGATTTGAGTCATCAGCAAATAATCTGAAATTGAAAAAGTTTGTGGAGTTAGGTAAGTCATTTATATATAGTAAAAATAATGTTGGTCCAAGAACGGAGCCTTGAGGGACACCACATGTTATATTCAATTTCAAAGACATTTTGTCTTTATATTGTATAAACTGTGATCGTTTACACAAATAATCTTCAAACCATTGCAAGGCTAACCCACGTATTCCATAGTGTGACATTTTTTTGAGGAGAATGCTGTGGTTTATAGTATCAAATGCCTTTTGAAAGTCAATAAAGATGCCAACTGTTGTTCTACCTTCATCAATGTATTTCAATAGTGTATTTGTAAGATTAATCAAAGATAACTTAGTGCTATGTTTCTTACGGAAACCGTACTGGTGTTGAAACAAGATATTATTTGCTTCCAAATAGTCAATTACACGATTATTTATTATTTTCTCAAAGATTTTACCCAGTATAGGTAAAACTGAAATAGGTCTGTAATTACCAGCTAGATCTTTTCGCCCCTTTTTATAAATAGGTGTCACTTTTGCTACTTTCAGTGCGTCTGGAAATTTACCTCTTTCTATGGAAAGATTGAAAATATATGTTAATGAGCTTGAAATGTATAGGGCAGCATCCCTCAACAATCTTGCCGGCAAATTATCATATCCACATGCTTTTTTTGTATCTAAAGTCTGTAAGTGGCATTTCAATTCATTCTCTGTTATTGGTTTTAAAAATAGTGATTTTTCTGTTCTATATCCTAAATATTCTGTAAAGTCAGAATTCACTGGTGGTATTTCCTTTGCCAGCTTTGGACCTATGTTTACAAAAAAGTTGTTAAATTCGTTAGCTATTTCATTGTCAGAAGTTATCACTCTATTTTCTCCACCACCTGAGCTTAATAATTTCTCTACATTGGTCACTTTATTTTTGACATTTCCACCACTCAACAACTCGTTAATTGTTCTCCACGTTTTACGACTATCATTCTTATTAATGAAGAAGAGGTTACTATAATATTGTCTCTTTGCATTTCGTAGAACTGTAGTTAGAACATTTCTATACCTCTTGTATTCTTCCTCGTCTTTCTGTTGGAAATTTGATGCCTTTAGTTTAAAATACAACTTGTGCTTCTTCTTGACTGATTTTAAAATAGCATTAGTCATCCATGGTTTTCTCCCAGCATTTTCCCCCTTTTTTAGGTTCTTCGAAGTTGATGATATAATTGGTGCATGCTTGTCACAGACTTGCGTAAACAAGTCGTAAAATACAGAGTACGACTCATTTAATTTTGTACAACCACTTACATTGTTCCAATCAATTTTACCTAGATCATCATGGAATTTATTAATATCATAATTTCTGAAGGTACGAAACACAGACTTTTTGTGGCTTGTTTTACTTGCCTTTCTAAGATGCTCAAATGCAACAAAGATAGGGAAATGATCTGATATATCAGTTTCTATAACTCCAGCATGAATAGAAGAAATTGTTACATTAGTGTACACATGGTCAATAAGAGAGGAAGTTGTTTTAGTTACTCTTGTTGGTGAAGTGATTAGTTGCTGCATACCCAAACATTGTAAAGAAGTTAAAAATTGTTCTGCTTTCATATCTATTCCTTCCTTGTGTAGTACATTAATGTTAAAATCTCCAAGTAAATCTACATTTGCTTTATCAATTTTCAATCTTACTAATGTTACAAGCAAGGAGTTTTGAAATTGATCAATATCAGTATTGGGCTTACGATAAATAATACCTACAGTAATTTTCCTACCATTCAGGTCAGTTTCTAACCAGAGACTTTCTGTGTGAGTGACTTCATGGTCAAGAATAACATATTTTAATGAAGAGTGAATGTAAGCTCCAACTCCTCCACCCCTTGTGC